TTTTTTAAATAAGAGAGAAACCCCAGTCACCATTCGCCTTCCCTGCCTCCTCCTCCCCCAGGATTCCTTAGGTCCACTGTGCACCTGGGCTGGATGGGCACTGAGCTGGAGGGCCAGGTCTTCTCTGGATCCTCAGGAGGCTCTCCTCAGTGCTGGATGACCACCGAAGCAGCCCCTGCCCCTCACCAGCCTTGGGAGGTGGGGGTGGTTTCCTAAGTGGAGAGAGGAAAGGCATATCTTCCTAGAGGAAAAAGGGAGAGGGCTGGATTATGATTAATGGCCAGATCCAGGCTAGAGGAGAGGGGAGCCTGGCTGTAGCCCCTTTGAGTCTCCGTTCGGCATCAGCACGGAACCCAGGAGGGGCTGGCCTCCTTCCCCTCAGATCTTTGTGTTCTGCTCTTAAAGGCCATCTTGGAAGCTGCCATGTTGGGAAGTATGGCCAGTCAGTCTCCTCTCAGTTCCCTCATCCTCAGGCACCAGAGCAGGGACCAAGAAACCCTGAGGGTGGGTCATCCAGATGCTGTTCACATTAACTCTAGACCCTTCTGTGCTAAGTAAGAATGCCACACCATGGTGAAGACTTGAGGAGGGCTGTGAAGTGGTCCGTAGCCCGACCTCCCACACCCACAAAGTGAGGACGAGACCACTCAACTCAGACTGATGAGAAGACCCTCCCCAAGTTTTCTTGGGAGCAGATGAGGTGGCCTCACATGGGCCTCCCTGTCTGGACCTCACCCTGTGTGTCAAAGAGTAAAGACGGGCAGTCCAGATGTCAGCAGAGCAAGTGATGAAGCTGAGGGGACGTCAAGGGCTACCAAGCTGGATGGCAAGATGCAGCTCGCAAAATAGAGGCCAGCATGGTCGGCTCCCCTGTTCCAAACAAGCTTGTATTAACATTTTCTCAGCCTCTTCTCACTTCCCCTCTGTGGGCCTGGGTTGCACTACCCCGCTGCTATGTGGTAAAGGTTCAGAGTTAGAAGTCCACAAAGGAGGCCTTTCATCAACAAGTATTTTATTTATTGCAAAGCAGCTTTGTGCAAGGCAGTGCTAGTACATGGCGCTCCACCGAGCTTTCCTGAGACCTCCCCTCACCTCCCTCTGTCTACACTGGGCCTTCTTCCAGAGTGTGCTCAGTGGACAGCAGCAGGAGAGGCACAGCACAAGCTCAGAGCTTATGAACAGGATCTTGGCCATCAGTGTCCCACCAGGTTGCCCCTGAACCTGGCCCTTTGCCAGATAGACACCTGGCTCACCATGTCCTCTGGAGCAGCTGGGAACTGGTTATTGCCATACACGACTCTCTTGAGTGCCACTCCTCTTAGAAGAACCCTCCAGAAGCATACCAGAAGCCACCTCTGAGAACGGCTTATATGGTAGTAAGCCAAAAAATGTATGTCAGTGGCCAAACTGCCATGAGACTGAAGTCTTTGTGAAAGCCACCATTAGAGATGGCTTTATTTCCTAAGCCACCTTTTTATTTCCAAAGATCTCACTCAGGAAGGGAGGCTCCATGCAACCTCAGGGGCCAGTTTCAGCATTTAAAATGGGTCTGCTTGGAAAATGATTCCCTGCAACTAATCCTGGTCCTTCTTGCTGCGATGTAACCAAATTCTGAAGGCACTACCTTCAGCTGAGCTGACAAACATCGGATGCCAGCCTGCAGATTCTGGAAGATTGGTTGCCCTCCCAAGGCTTTATTCTATTATGATATTGCTATTAATATATTATAATTTTGCTATTGCTGTAACTTGGTTATGAATCTGTACTGTCATGTGTATCTGTCAGAGAGCCCACAGAACTGTACTTTCTGGCCAGAGAAGGTGCCCAGGCCACAACCTCAGGGGCCCATAGCCATGGAGATCAGAGATAATGCGACTCTCAACCCATTAGCCTGGTATAGAGCAGGCCGCAGACGCACCCTGTTCCTTCAGTGACATTCTGCAGATAACTGTCAAAGCCCACGGTCCTGGGCTCTCAGGAGGCCTAATAATCCCTGCCTGAGTTTACAGCCGTAAGTGGAATTGAACACCAACAGCTAAGTCCATGACATAAATCAGAATTAATATCATAATCATCATTGGTCACTTGGTCACAGCCAGTGCTTCTGCTCCACAGCAAATCTTATCTTCTGATTGCCAGCAGAGAATATAATGGTGTCACCTTCATTTCACTTCTAGAGCAAAGCTGAAGGAACTTCCTAGAGTGCTAGACACTCATAGAGGATGTGGTTAAAATGCAAATTCCCGACCTCTCCAGCTAGCCCCGAGTTGATCTCTGTGGATCTAAGAGGGCCCAGGAGTGGCACTTTCAACCGGCCCCTCATGTGAGGCCGACGTGGGTGGTCTCTAAACCCTGTGTGGTGGGCCATCAGTGCAGCAGAACCTTGGGGACGCCCACTTGTGCCTAGGCCACTGAGAAATTTAGAGACTCTGTAGGCCTTTGGTAAGTAAAAGATGATTAGGGAAGGGGTGCCTGTTAATCTGATTTCCTGGGTGGCTGAAATCAGGAGGCAGCGGGCATGAACAACAGTCTAAGAGCTCACATTTATATTAAGTTCATACCAGTACTGAGAGTGGAATTCTCACTCTCCAAGCTTAAGTGTGCTTAAAAAAGTCACAATTATTCTTTAAATCGGTTATGTTTGATTTCTTGCTGTCTTCCTGCTGGCTGGCCGGAAATTTAGCACCAACCATCCTCAGGTCTGGCTCCCAAAGCACTTGGGTCCTGCCAGTATGAATCTCTGGTCCCTTCCCAGGCTGAGGCTCCCTAGTTGCCCTGCTTCCCCCTAAGCCTGGAAACCTTGCAGAGGCCAGATGCAGGGCTAGGCCCACAGTGAAAATCAAATACCATATCTTCATAAATTATCCTTTGGCCTAAAGCTCTCTGGGGTGATCCTCACCACAGCCCCATGAGGGAGACCAGCCTGGTCCTAAGGCCCCACTTGAAGACGAGGAATCTGAAATCGAGGAGATCATTGTGGCCAACTTCACCCATATAACACCTGGCTGGGTCTGGACTTAAACCAGGCTGCCCAGATCTTTCTACTCGAGCCCCAGCTGCAGCCCCAGAGCCCCTACTGAGTTATTCTGCTGAAATGGGGGGAAGCCCCTCTATTCCCACGGAACTTCACTGACCCATGGTGGGGGTGGGCAGAATCTACTGAGGGCTATGGAGGTAGGGAGGACCAGGTACCACTTCATTTACCCAGCTTCTATTCAAGTGGCAAGAACATTACCCTTGCTGAGTTAAAGGAGAGTCGCAGAGAAAGGGGACAAGGAGGAAAAAACTTTCAGGAGAAAAGGCCCTGAGAGAACTGAACACAGACCCACAAGGGAACACCCCCACCTGGTGGTGGGTTAGCAGAGTCCCGCTTAGGAAACAAAGCCGTAATGGGAGTTCTCTAATCGCTCTCAAAGATGGAGAGAAGCAGCTAAACTGGGGGCTGAATCCAGTCAGTCTCGGGTTGATATTAAAATATTATATTACCGAATCCCAAAGTGAGAGATTGGCAGGGGCTCTGTCTTTGTGTGTGTGTGTGTGTGTGTGTGTGTGTGTGAAAGAGAGAGAGAGACAGAGACAGAGAGAGAGGCAGACAGAGAAACCGTGCAAATCTAAAAGAGAAATCCTATCTTCTACAAGCACAGGAACTACATACCTGGGAAAAATATCCATCTCCTGCCAATAGCACCCGATTCATTATAACCTTTCCTCAGAGATTAAATATGTAAAGAGGTCGTGGGCAAGCCCTTGGCAAATCATAAGTGAAAGAAAGTTTTTCTCCTGCCATTCGTCCCCACACTACACAGGGGTCACCCCAGCTTGCTGAAGTCCCTGTCCCCCCTCCCCCGGGCACCTGCCACACCTTGATGACAATAACAATAACTAAAATGCACACGGATCTTTATGGCTCCCAAAGTCACCCATCCACTCTATCCACTCACCTAATAAGCTCATCTAATTGGAATTCAGTCAGGACAGGCTTGGCTATGCTGTGGTCCCCTGACCAATCTGTCATGTGACATAACGGAAGTTCCTGTCTTGCTCACCTAAAGTCTACTGTGGGTCTAGGTGGCTCTCTGGAGCAGTGGCTCAGTAATCCAGTATTCTGAGGTCCCTCCATTTCATAACATGCCACTACAGTTGACAAGGCAGGGGCAGATCCTCAAAGGTCTCGCACTGGTAAGTAAATGTTCTGGCCCCGAGTAACATGCTTTCACCTCTGCTCCCAGCCTGTTGGCCAGAACTTGCATGTATGTCCCTGACTGAACTGCAGGTGTGGGGTGAGTTCAGAAGAAATAAAACACAGATACGGACAGTACTAGAATCTTCTACCACTGGGGGTGAACCTGGGGGACGTGGGTGCTCCCAGGGACACTTAGGCCAGGCTGTCGGGGAGGGGGAAATGCTTTCCAAAGGAGGCAACATCAATGCTGGCTCCCAAAAGGTGACGAGATGATTTCCAGGCAAGGCTGAGCCAGCAGACAGTTTGCAGAGGGATGGGGAGGTGGGGGAGGAAGCAGAGGAAGCAGAGCTGGGGTGGCAGTTGAGAGAGATATACAGGGTCTCCTCTTGAGACAGGAGAGATTTGCTGAGCAAAGAAAGGGGTAAAGGACTGGGGAGGCTGAGGAGTCAGACAAGTACAGCTGCCCGAGTGACCCTGGGAAGGAGGAGGCGATGAGCCAGTGCATACCACCCCTGGAAGGCCAGTATGGCTAGTCCTATCCTACGAACGGGGAAAATGAGGCCCCTTCTAGTTGTCACTTGTGTCTCCATTTATTCATTTAGTATCCGATGCAGATGAGGACTGGAGATGACAAACACAGGGTCACTAGCTTTTAAGGGCATATCGGGAACCAGAATAAGACTTTAACAGAGGGCAGAGTTCAAGTGCTTTGAGCTCATTTGGCTGAGAGATCAGAAAAATGGGTTGATGCTCATCCTGTAGGATGGACTGGATCTCCAAAGACTCCAAGGTGCAAAGACACTTCAGGTAAAGAGAAGGAGGCAGGAAAACCTGGAAAAGTTCTGAGAGACCACTGGGCACAGGACCCATGAAGGAGTTCAGAGATAAGGCCTGGAGAGGCAGTCAGGTCCAGGCTTAGAGACTTCTGGAGGGTTTTGAGGCCTGGCTTACACCAGGCTGTGAGTGGTGGGGCCGGCCTGCTCCCGGCTCCTGGGTCAGGGCATTGGAGAAGGGCCTTAGGGCCCCCGCCAGCCAATCCCAGGAAGGTGCTCTTAGCTCAGGGTCCCCTCCTAGAGTCTACACTGGGGGGATCCTGGTGGGCCATGCCATACCCTCAAGGGGGCTGCCCTTTCAATACTCCCAGCACTCACACAGGGAGCCCCTCACCGCTTGTGCTTGAAGGAGCCACAATGCACAAATGCAGTGCTTGAAGGCTGCATTTGCAGCCTTCCTCTTGGCCAAAGCTTCAAGCCTGTCCCAGCCCAGAGTGGGGTGAAAGCTACTCTATCCCCATCCCTTTCTTCCCACTGCTTCTCTCTGCCCATCTGGACCCTGAAGCCCCAGGCTTGGAGCTGGGAGTCAGAGAGGTTCAGTCTCAGGGCAGAATAGAGTAACTAATTTAAAGGGGCACCTGTTCAGTCCCCCAGTGTTGCTAACCCCCTTCCCTCTACTCTGTCATCCATCAGCGTGAGAAACACGAGGTATCCCTTTTCCAGATGCCAAATCCATAAAAGTGACCTCAGAGATCCCAGATAGGGACCAACATTGGTTTAAACCTTGATCCTCATCACACTTCATTACCCCTAGTTTACAGAAGAGGAACGGGGGTGTCTGGATGAGACAGAAGCTCTCCCTTTGCCGTCTACACTGGCAAAGGACCCAGGCCGATTTCACACTGTTTCTGTCTGGCCTCTAGATCCAGGCAGCCTCCCCAGACATACTGAGATTCCAGAAGGGTTCCTGAAGCGCAGAGTTTCAATACATCGGGTGTGTGGAGCGCTCAGACACCGTCCCAAATGCTTTAGACAATTTTGCACCTAGACTCGTCACCGCAGCCCTATGAGATCCAATTATCTTGCCATTTCACAGACGAGGAGCCTGAGGCAAGGAGGACAGCGGTCTTGGCTGCTTTTCCCTCCTTTGCAGCGAGGCGGCGCGCGCCGGGAACGGGGAGCTGAGGTCTGCAGAGAGCGGCGCCGCGCAGGGGCCACGTGCGCCAGCCGCGTGGCAGTCGGCCACCAGGGGGCGCGCGCGTCCCTGGGCCCTGGTCCTGCCGGGAGCCCGGAGGAAGTCAGCCCCGCGGACCCAAGACACGAGCGGCCGGGCCGGCTCCGCGCCCGGATGGGGTGCTCTGCCCGGGGTTCCGGCCGCCCGGCTTCCCCGCCCCGGCGCCCTCGGCCCTGCGGGGCTCCACACATCCATCCCACGGCGGCCTCCAGAGCGGCCCAGAGTCTGGGCACCCGCTCACAGGTCATGGCCTTGAGAAAATGTCCTTCTCTCCTGCTCCGCGACAAAGCACAATTTAGTCTGTTTACCTGCGTTTTCAGTACGAATGTGTAATGAACACATTAAAAAACAAGAAAAGCAAAGAAAAAGATGCCAGGAAGCACCAAAAGGCACACAGGGCTTCCAGAGGCAATCGGACCTGTTGTGGGCAGACGGTTCACTCAGCCTGCATATGCAGTCGTCACAGCGTCGCCCTCTCGGAACCCCTGTTCCGCGGCTCCAGGGGCCTCAGGTCCCTCTGACCCTCTTTCCTTCAGTTCCCAGAGCACCTCCTAGGGCCTGGCCCTGAAATAGGAGCAGGCTTCAGAGAGAAAGCTATGTCTGTAATCTGGGCATCTCCACTCAGGGAGCGTCCCAATTGCCCATCCTGTGGATTCGGGTATCAGGTAAGTGGTGGGCACCAGGCCTGTGGAGTGAACATGACAAACGGAACCCCTTCACCCTTGGAATTTACAATTTGGGAAGCAAAACAGACCTAACCAAGAAGGCACACATATAGTGTGGCAACTGGCTAATAACCTATTACAGGGCCAGCAGTGCCATGAAGAAGTGCATATAGACAGAAGGACACTCGCCTCGGAATGCAGGGGGAAGAGCAGGTATGTGGTGATACCACAAAGGTGAGAGAGGCCAGTTCCCCAGCAGATTGGGGGTCAGGAGTACAGGCAGTGAACTTGGGCTGCATCGTGAAGGATGGGTCAAGTTTGTTGAGCAGGACCTGAGAATGGAGGTGTTCTGGGCAGAGGGGGCTGCAGCAGTGAAGGCTCAGAGGCCAGAAAGCTTGGGGTATGTTTACCTGGAGGGCAGGGGGTGCATAGGTCTCAGTTGGCAGAGCGTAATGAGTGATAGGTTGCACCGTGCACACCTGCTTTAGTACCTGGATGCTGCCTGTGGGTAATGGAAAGGCACTGACAGTGTAAGAGGCAAGATGCAACCAGATTTCTGGGCTTAATAAAAGGCCATTGGGGCTGCAAGTGTACTTGGGAAAGGGAGCCTGGCTGGCAAAGGTGGGTTCTAGGGAAGGAGGCCTCCTTCTTGTCATTATGGCTGCTGGAGGCACTGGGGCTGAAAAAGATCGGAAGTGGGATGCTCCAGCGGGTCCAGAGCTGAGGGAAGGACCAGTGAGCATCAGGAGCACCCCAGCCACACACAGGCTCCCAGCAGCTGGGCTGTGTGCTGCCTGAAGGGCTGGAGCCGATCCCTGTGCCTAGAATGTGCCTTGTTATAAAGCAGACATTGGGAACTGGCTGTCTCTGGGCCCAGCACATGGGTTCTAATTGGCCCACATGACATTTGTGTTTTTAAGTTAACTGCAAACATTTGGGAGAGTTTGAATTCCGGAGTTTCTCTTGAAAAACCCTGGCCCGGCACTCCTGCCTGATGTCAAGGGACTGGAGCTGAGCACAGAGCACTCCTTGTACCCTTAGGGTTGCTGCGGTCTCCACAGCACTGGCTTGGACCCTGTGAGTGTTTACATTTCCACACATACACACACCCTTAAAAAGTCCAGCGAAGCCACGGAGAATCCAGGTGAATGTTGGGAAAGGCCTGG